GCGCCATGGAGCGGCCCGGGAGCGGCGGCGCCGAGGGGGCCTGGGCCGCGCTGCTGGGCCGGCAGCACCAGCAGGTACGACCGGGGTGGGGAGGGCGGGTAGCGGGGCCCGGGGACGGGCAAGGAGCCGCTGACAGCAGGCTGGGACGTGAGCCCCCTTCCCCCGGGGTCCCGGTGGCGGCCCCCTTCCCGGGCCGGCGTGACGAGGTGGCTGTGCCCACAGGCCCGGGAGTACTGCCCGGGGGTGAACAACCAGCCCTACGTCTGCGAGACCGGGCACTGCTGCGGGGAGACCGGCTGCTGCACCTACTACTATGAGCTGTGGTGTGAGTGTGGGGGAAGGGGGAGCTGGGCACAAAGTGGGGTCGGGGGCTGGGGCCTCCTCCCCCGCGGGAGGGGGTTTGAGGGGAGGGTGACCCTGCTGTGCGCTCCCTGCAGGGTTCTGGCTCCTCTGGACCATCCTCATCCTCTTCAGCTGCTGCTGTGCCTACAGGCACCGCCGGGCCAAGCTGCGCCTGCAGCAGCAGCAGCGGCAGCGGGAGATCAACCTCATCGCCTACCACGGTGCCTGCAACTATCCCACCTCCATGATGGACCTCAGTGAGTGAGGGGAACCCCCAGCCCCCTGTGTGTCCCCCCAGCTCTGCCCCAGGGCCCCATGCCAGGTCCATCCCTTTTGGGGATGGAGCCTCAGGGGCCACCCTGACCTGTGTCCCCCCGCTCCACAGGGATGCTGGCTTCCTTCAAGCTGCCTGCCTACGAGGAGGTGGCCCACCGCCCCAGCACACCGCCGCCGCCCTACAGCTCCATCCTGGCCCAGCTGAGCGGGCCCCGCAGCCGCCTGGGCTCCAGCAGCCTCACCCTCTCACCCAGCTCGGAGAACTACACCAGCTGCTCCTGCGAGTCGAGCTGCGCCACCTCCCCCAGCAGTACCTCCCTCTCGGTGCAGGTGACGGATGAGACGGAGCGCAGCCGGGCCAGCACACCCAGCGAGGAGGGTGGCACCAGCAGCACTGGCACTGGCGCCAGCTGGGACCTCCCCCCTGAGGAGGCGCCGGCTCGTGGGGCCCCACACAAGCATGCCCTCTTCTCTTCCACCGTGGACTTCTTTGAGGCCGACTGCCACCCCTGCTCCGACATCGAGGAAGGCGAGGAAGAGGAAGGTGTTGCGGCCCAGGAAGAAGGCAGCAGTGGCGAGCATTTCCGGCACCGCCGCCTGACGGGGGACTCGGGCATTGAGGTGGGGCGCTGCCAGGAGGAGGAGGAGGGTGAGGGTGAGGGCACCCACCTCCTGGGCAAGGCTGGCCCTGCGCCCCCGCCGCGCTGTGGGCTGCCAGGCCAGGGGGGTGGTGAGGGGCCTGGCTCGCCCGCCCTGCCCGTCTGAGCCTGCACCCGCTGGCCGAGCCCTGCCCTCCCCGCTGCCTGCTAGCTTGCCTGGCCCCGTCCTGCTGCCTGCTCCCCTGCCTGTACCTGGGGTGGGGGGCAGGCGGCTGTGCCAAGGGCCCTGAGCCACGGCTGTGCCGTTCCAGCCTGTTCTGTCCCCCCAGCCTTGGAGCAGCTACGGGGGGCATGGTGAGTGCACCCCCCTCCCCTGCTCAGAGGGCGTCCGGTGTGGGGCAGAGCGGGACAGGCAGCGCTTTGGCGGGGTGCTGCTTCATCCCTCCCGCTCCTGGTGCTGCCCCACAGCAACGTGCCCGCTGCCAGGGGCTCAGGGCAGCGTGCCCAGGGTCTGGACTCTTGCCACGGAGCCCCCAGGGGCCCATCGCCTCGACAGACCCGCCCCTCTCCCCTGTGTCCCGTCATGTCCAGTACCTCATGTGGCACAGCCGGGCCCCGCGGCGGCCCCACTTTTGGTGTGGTCCCGCTGGAGCCCCCTCCCCTCTGAACTGCTTCCAGGGGCCACAGCTGCCGGGGCCCCGCATCTGCCCCGTTCACCCCCTGCGCTGCCGGTGCTGCGGGCCCTAAGGCTGGGGCTGCTGCCCATGGGGAAGCCGGGGGGGATGTCCCCATATCTGCCGGGAGATGGGCAGTTCACGTAGCGTTCTCTCACCATTAAAGAGATGTGGAAGTACAGCAGCCCTGTGCCTGCTAGTGGGGGGACACTGGGGGGGTGTGTGGAGGGGCACTGGGGCTGAGCTGGGCCTCCACAGGGAGGGAGGGGGAAGGAAAGGGTTGGCTGGGGCAAGACACAGCTTTGACGCCTCCCCCCGCAACACAAGCAGCGACAGGCCGTGGTGGTGGGAGGTTTATTTTGGGGGAGGAGGTGGGCTCATCACCTCTCACCCGCACCTGAGAAAGACGGGCAGGGCTGGCAGCGCAAGCAGCTGCCCACACTTTGGCTGGCCAGCCGCCCTAGTAGTCCTCAGCCATCACCAGCACGACCAGCGCGGACCAGCCGGCAAAGGGGTGGCAGCCCTGCCCGCGCCCGGTGCTGTCGCTGTACTGTTCCCAGAGGAAGCCGCTCTCGGTGTACTGCCGGTACAGGTTGGCAATGAGGTTGTGGCGCAGCTCCCGGTAAATCTCCGCTGCCCGCTCGCGCTGTGGCCCGTCGGCGCCGGCGTAGCTGCGCAGCGCCCGCAGCGCCAGGTAGTTGATGTTGACCCAGATGGGGCCACGCCAGTACGGGGGGTCATGCTCGGTGTTGCGCTGCATGTAGAGGGGGCTGTCGCGGGCCAGGGAGCGCAGCCCGAAGGGGGTCCAGAGCTGCCGCTCGCTGCGCATGGTGGCCAGCACGGCAGGCAACCGTGGCGAGTCGGGGCGCAGCAGCTGCAGCAGCAGCGGGAAGAGGCTGACGTAGCCCAGGGCCCCCACAAAGCGGGGCCGGGGGGTTTCCCGCACCTCCCGTACCAGCTGTGGGGCCGGGGGAGGCCGCCCTGGGGCTGCCGGGGCCAGCCGCTGCCAGCGCAGCCCCACGGCCGAGCTGTGGTTGCCGTAGTCGGCGAAGGCGCCCAGCTCCTGTGCCCAGTGCAGCTGCTCCAGCAGCCCGTTGTCACTCAGCGCCTGTTCCATCTCCCGGTAGGGCCCGGCCGGCTCTCCCAGCCGCTCGGCCACCTCCCCCAGCACCCGGGAGGCCAGCGCCATCCAGCAGCGCAGGTCCAGGTGCCGCTCCTCGGGCGAGGGGTGGGAGGCACGGGGGTAGTCGTCCAGCCCCGAGGCCAGCGTCTTGGGGTTGAGGAAGCGCTCGGGGTTGGGGTCACGGCCGCGCCAGCGGAAGGTGTGGGGCAAGGGCCCGGCCTGTGTCCGGTTGTACCAGTCGTACCAGGCGCGCAGGCGGGGGAAGAGGCGCTGCAGGTAGGGCAGGGGGGCGTCCGGCAGCAGCCGCTGCAGCGCCAGCAGCAGGGTGGGGGGGTTGGCCGTCTCGCTGTGCTGCAGGAGGAACTCGGGGGGCACCTTGGCCCGCGCCTCCTCCCCCAGGATCTGCTCCCGCGGGATCCAGCCCTCGGTGTTCATCAGGTCCAGCCAGTGGGCGATCACCTCGCGGCTCAGGGCCGGGTCCCAGCGCGCCAGCAGCAGCTGGTGGAAGCCCTCATCCCAGAGGAAGCCGCGGGGGAAGAAGGAGCGGGAGGGGACGGCGGTGAAGAGGGCGGCCTCGGGGGCGGGCACGGGACGCTCCTGCAGCGGGGACTGCACCAGCGAGCGCCCGTGGAAGTAGCCCATCCCGCCCAGCATGTCGCTGAGGGCGGCCTGGGCGAAGCGTCGCTGGGGCGGGGGGAAGCCCTTGCGGCCCAGCCCGAAGGTCTCCTCGAAGCGCTGCTCGAAGGCGGCCGTGTGCTGCGCCAGCGCCGCCGACAGTGCGTCCCCCGCCAGCCGCCCGGGCCGGTCTGCCACACTGCCCGACTCAAAGGTCACCTCCACCGTCCCCGGCGGCTCCAGCGTCACCTGGTGCAGCAGCAGGCGCCCCCGCGGGGGCTCCCCCGCTGCTCCTGGCAGCCCCCGAAAAGCGTCGACGGCGAAGAAGCGGCGGCGGGATTTCCCCCGGGGGGCGAAGACGAAGCGGTTGCTCAGGCTGCTCCGCACCACCTCGGTCAGGCGGTGCAGCCCCGGGCTCGCCGCGTCCAGGTAGTTGTAGCTGCAAAGAGGGAGATGGTGTCAGGGAATGAGGGACAAAGAATCGTAGAATGGTTTGGGTTGGAAGGGACCTCAAAGATCATCGAGTTCCAACCCCCTGCCCTGGGCAGGGACACCTCCCACCAGACCAGGTTGCTCAAAGCCCCATCCAGCCTGGCCTTGAACACTTCCAGGGATGGGGCATCCACAGCTTCCCTGGGCAACATGTTCAGTGTCTCACCACCCTCACAGTAAAGAATTTCTTTCTGGTATCTAAATCTCCCCTCTTCCAATTTAAAACCGTTACCCCTTATCCTGTCACTACCCTTCCTGACAGAGACTCCCTCCCCATCTCTCCTGTAGGCTCCCTCCAGATATTGGTAGGCTGCTAGAAGGTCTCCCCAGAGCCTTCTCTTCTCCAGGCTGAACAACCCCAGCTCTCTCAGCCTGTCCTCACAGGAGAGGTGCTCCAGCCCTCTGGTCACCTTTGTGGCCCTCTGCTGGGGAATCAAGGGGCACAGGAGGGGCTGTTGCAGCGAAGCACCTGGCGTATTTGGGGTCCTCGCTGCTTTCTACCGTGGGACGGAGGAAGGTGAGGGTGAAGTCTCCCAGCTCCTCTGATGTCCCCGTCACAGCAGCCAGCCGCGTCTTGTTCTCCAAATGTGGCTCCAGTGTCCCCTGCCCGTCCGTGGCGATGTAGAAGAAGAGGGAGAGGAGGGGGGCTGGGCTGCCCTTGCCCTGCAGAGGAAGAGGAGAGGGGAGATGTGAAGAAGAGGGGGGGGGCTGGCCAGCTCTCCGGCTGTTTACCCAGCAGACGCAGCCTCCCCCCGCTCACCTCCATCCGTGCTGTGACGCGCCAGCTCCAATCCCCTCCATGTTCTCCTCCCGGTCGCTTAACGAATTCGGTCTTCAGGAACAGATCCCCATCCCGGATCTCCTGCACCCCGAAGTTCTCCCCGTCGTGCATCACCCAGCCGTACCGCGACAGCCCGTCGCCCTGCTCGCAGGTGTGCCGCAAGCTGCCTCCCCCCTCACCTTGCTGAAGCCACATCAGCCCTGGGGACACCGGGGAGGGAGGTCAGTCTCGGTTCTCCGGGCGGGAGCGGGGCAAGCCGAGGCCCCGGGGCACGGCGAAGCCCCCCCCCCCCCCCCCCCCCCCC